GTCAGGCCCGCATGGCCCGGGGCCGGGGCGCTCAGGCCTGCCACCGGCAGCCATGGAGGCGAGAAGCCGGGGAGCCCGAAGGGGTCTCCTTGGTGCTGCACCTGCGGAGACAAGGCCATCAGTGGGGCTTCGAGAACTCCTCTCCTGGGGCTTCAGTTTCCTCATTTGCAAAGGATAAATTCCTCCTAACAGAGCTGCTGTGTTTGCGATAATATAAAACAAAAACCCCCCAAAAGTGGGCTTTACACCAGTGCCTTTGTTTCCTCATCTCTAAAATGGAGATAACACCACAATTAACTTCAATTTCATAAGGTAGTTATGAGCATGTTAAATGCTTAAGGCAGGTCCTGGCCCATTGGAAGTGCACAATAAATGTTAGCTCTTTTATTAAAGCTATCTTACACACTGAGGTGCAAATCCTGTCTCCACCATTTACTAGCTGTTCAGTTTCACATAAAACCATTTCCCTTCTTTGAGCCTCAGTCTTATCTATAAAATGGGAGAACAGCTCCCTGTCCTGCCTTCCTACCAAGGATCTCCTGAGAACCATATGATAGTGCAGGGACCAAGTCTGTTTCATTCCCTCCTCTCATACCCCGCCAACTGTCTGGCACACAGCAGGGGCTCCATAATTGTCATGTAAATGCATGAATGAAAATTAAAGGTGATTTGTAATTTATGAAATCACCATAACAATACTATTTAACCTTTGCTTACATCTTGCCTCTGGTTTAGGCATTATGTTTGCTGCTTTAAACACACTATTCCTAATCTTCCCAATAATGGGTGTGATGATGATGATGATTTTGTAAATGAGAATGTTGGGGCTGAAGAGGTACAGTGACTTGCCCTAGGTCATCCATCTAGGAAGGAGCAGATCTGGAATTTGAACCAAAGTTGGTAGGACTACAAAACTAGTTCTATTATCTCACTATTTATTGTCATTATTTTAATGTTATCATTCCTGCCCATGGTCACAGCAAGATGGCAGGCCTACAGTCTGTCTTAATTCAAAACTATACCCTCCCTTCACTTCGCCAAAGTAACTTAGGGAAATATCTTCTTTCGTTGGCAGGGCCTTCTGCCCAACCAAAGATGGTGAAGGATCCCCCTCCTTTGTAAAAGTCCCCTCTTACGATGGAATTTTTGCCCCATATTGAAATCCTTTCTTGGTATCTCTGCATAGCACTGGTAGAAGAGTTCATAGCTCATATTGTTCAACTGCCTCCTTTTACAGCTGAGGAGACCAAGGCCTGTGGAGGTGAGGTGACAAGATTACATGGACCCTAAAACCTAGGTTTCCTGACTCCCAGACCAGAGTTCTCTTCACTCTCAGGTTGCCTCTGTCTTAAAGCGCCATGGAAGGAGCCTCCAAGCTGAGGTGGATGGAGAGGCATTTGGGGCACAGAGATGTGTCCTCCAATGTGTGGCCAGGGGCAAGTTACCAAACACTTTTGGAGCACCAATTTCTGCAGCTGGAAAATTAGGTTGAGAAAATGGGTGGTCGAGAACCCCTGTGATCTGCACTTCCCCATTCCCTAGGCCCCTGGCACCCCCACATCCATCCCCACTCACATATTCCTGGAGCAGCTGCTCAGCATATTTTGTGAGGAGGCGGGCAAGGCTGTGTGTCTGATGGATCTTGGCCTCCAAGTGAGGAAGGGGTGAGATTGAGGAGTCAGCTTGGGGGTCTTCTAGTGGGAAAAGGGGGAGGAATGAGGGCAGCCCAACTCCTTACTCCTTGACCACTTCCTTCTGGCTGGTTCAGGTGGCTCTCCCTTCCTGAACCCAGAAGCTTGCTTGGCTCTGAATCCTCAGCTTTTAAGCCAGGCAGGCTGTGTCCTATTCCGGTCGAAAGGAAATGAGGCACCAGATTTGCCAAATGGTTGTGCTACCTATATGTGTTCTGTTCTCAAATCACTCTTGAAATCCTATTAAAGCCAAATTCAGGTACTGCCTCCTTAGTGCAGCTGCAGAATGGCCTCTCTTTTAAATTAACTTCTTCATTCTAGTTAAGGCCATTTGCTCATATTTCCAACGTAGTTCTTTTAATGGCTTTTTTATCTGTGTGAGTTGGCCTCAGCTTGGGGGCCCTTCGAGGGTATGGCTCACATATCTCTGTACCTCAATGATTGTTGGTGGAATTCACCATCACTGAAGCAGAGAACTTCAAATCAGAATGCGCCTTTCATCCCATTTTACAGACTGGGAGACAGAATTTACATTCTCTCCCTGAAGGCCCTATTAGGCAAGGCGCTGGGCTAGGAGCCCGGCGGCATCAGTGAATCGGCGACCAGCCTTACCTAGTACAAACTAGAGGCTGGCGCCCTGGGTGGACTACGTTTCCCAAGACGCCCAGCGCAGCGCCCAGGGCATGCTGGGGAATGGAGTCGTGGCCCGGCAACTACCGCCCCGCCCCCTGCCTGAGTTTCCCACCGCCTATCCTTATCCTTAGCCTTGACTTTCCTCCCCTGCTGTCACTCACTATTTCCTGTGACCCAAAGACTTCCTTCCCTAATTCTAATTCTCCCCCTGGCCCCCAGTTCTGAGTATTTCCCAGTACTCAAAGAGGAGCCTGGAGTCAAACCCCAGCCACGACCCCAGTCTTCCCTCAGGGTGTACTAGAACCGGTGATCTAATCTCTGAGCCCACGTCCCTGAAGGCACAGCCCCAGACCTCCTCTAAACTCTAGCTCTAGCGCCTTACCGCAGCTCACCCACAGATCACCGCTTGTTACCTGGCACTGGGGCCCTGCTTTCCTTCGCTCAGCCCGCTCCCTTCCCGGACCCAGGGGTGGCAGTGACCCAGATCCCAGCTTCCAGCCCTTCTGACCCCTGTTCCCCTTGGGCACTCGGCATATGCCCTTCAGCCCCTTACCCAGACTTCCCTCCCTCTGGCTCATGCTGGCCCCTGGTTGATCCCGGTTACCTCCACGCCCCCCTTCCGAAGGGGAGTCGGGGGTAAGGGTAGGGGCGTGGCTGGGGCGCAGCCAATCAGGGCTCAGACCCCAAACAACCCCCCAACCCCGCCCCAGGCAGGATTCCTTGTCCCTGAGCTCAGCTCCATGCCTGCGCCGCCTAATCCGGAAAGGGGCCTGAGGAGGGCAGCACTTTGTTCACAGAGTGGACTCGGGTCCTCAGTACTGGGGGCGACTGGACCTGGGAGGCAGCACTGCGTCCTCCCGGGAGGAGGAGGCTCAGGCTTTGATCTGGGGCAAGGCTTGGCGCGCGGAGAAGGCTTTCCGGAGAAAGCTAGGAAGATAGGAAAGGGCGGAGTTGGCAGGACTGGAAAGTGGTGCCCCTCCCTCTTGGCTGGGGAGAGCGGGGTGCGAGAGTGGCCATGATGGGGACTCTTAGGCTTGGGTCACACCTGCCCAGACATACACTTCCCGGCCTATCTTAGATACTTTGGGCTCTCTGTCTCATTGTCACATCTACTAGGAGGGTGACAGATACACCAGCTCACTTCACCTTACTAGGCTCAGTAAGAGAAACCCTCTGACATACCTGCTTCTACTGCATACAGACTCATTTTTTACACAGGAACAAGCTTCAGAGACAGGTACAGGGGGTCATACTCACACATCGACCCTACTAACCTGATGTAAACAAACGCTCACTCTGTCCGAGGCTCTGGGACTGAGATGATCCAGACTTGGTCTCTGTTCCTCTAAGGAGCTCACGGTATGATGGGGAGACCGTAGAAACAGCAGGTAATGGGGTTTGTGAGTGAAGGGACTGGGAAAGAGGCCTGTGTGTCTGTCTGTGAGGATATTGCCAGCATAAAGGGAGAAAGGGAGTACTGGCAGAGGGCACAGCAGGTGCAATGAAGCCGGACTGTTGATAGGGGCCACAGTTGTGTACTTATTAACAGTGAGTATTTATTGGGTATTTACTATGTGCGAGGCATTGTTCTAAGAGCTATATATTTGTTTAACTCACTCCCATGTTATAGTTGAGGAAATAGAGACAAGTGCTTATCCAGGGTCATCCGACAAGCAGAGCTGGGATTTTACCCCAGCAGTTTGGCTCCAGAAATGCTGTCATAACCATCTTCCTACACCTAAACCCCTGTGGACATAATCACACCAAAACACACAGACACAATAGTCACACCCTTGAAACACGCACACATAGCAACACAAATTTAGACATATCATATCTTCTGGCAAACACAGCTTCAAATAAAATCAACCAAGACATGCTCATTTGAAGTAAACTTTTACTTGAAGTGTAATATACATAGGTACAAAAGTACAGCTCCATGAATTTTTAGAGTAAATATGAGCAATGAACCACCACCAGATTAACAACAGAACGTGATGAGTTTCCAGAGCCCCTTCTTAGCCCCTCAAGGGTGACCACTATCCTGACTTCTCACACCATAAATTAGTTTTGTATGTTTGGAACTTCATAGAAACGAATCATATAGTGTATACTGTTGTACCTGACTTCTTTCATGAGACTTGTCTCCCTTGTTAGATGTAGCCAGACATCATTCCCCTTGCTGTGTCCAAGGTGTGAATAGGCTATAACTTCTTTTCCACTCTCCTTTGATGGTTGTTTCCAGTTTTGGGGCTATTTTTAAATAGTGCTATGAACATTCCAGTACATGTCTCTTGGCGCTCATACCTACGCATTTCTGTTGAGTGTTGCTGACCTAGGAACAGAACTGCTTTACCTTAGGGTTGGGGTGTATGCTGGGCTTTATCAGAAAACGGCGTTTCCCAAAGTGTCTCTACCAATTTACTCTCCCCCAGAAATATGAGAGGTCCAAGTTACTTCACTTCTTCGCCTACCCTTGGTATGGTCAATCATTCTCATTTTAGCCATCCTGGTGGGTGGAGACCCACTCATATGCAGTGTCTAGCACGTACTTGACACTTGGTTAATAGATTGTTGAATGAACGCCTGCGGGAATAGTTGGACAGTGTAGAACGAGATAGCCTGGCGAAGGTGGAGAGACGCACGCACACACGCAGCGTTTCAGGGACGCTCACGCGCAGCGGACGCACACCAGGACACAGGCCCTCTCGCGCCCCTGGCGCCCACGTGGTCTGAACGCAACCTTCAGCTCTGCCGCGCGCGTCCAGTCGCGGAGCTGCCCCCAACCTCCCTCTGGGCGGCGGGCAGGGGGCGCTGCGCGTCCCGGCGCCCC